AGTCACCAGCGATGGTGTAGGCTGCAGCCCCTGTGGCAGTGGGTTGCCATGGGCTACCGTATGTAGCCAGCAGCCAGCGTGAGCGGCCAGCAGCCGCTGTGAGTGGCCGTCCAGAAGCTGGCGACTGATCTGCCTCACCCTGGAAGAGCGTAATGATGGTGCCAAGTTGGGCCAGTGAAGGAACATCCTCCACAACTAAAGACTGAAGAACAAAAGAACAGCAACTTATCTGTTCCCTTCCCCAAAATTCCCCAGCGCTGTTCCCCTCCCCCAAGTCCCCAGTAAAAATCGTAAAAAAAAAAAAAGAATTAAAAAAAAAAACCTCTCAGAATTCAACAGTACAAAAGCAAACAATGCTATTCAAACATGAGCAAAGGTGGGAAGAGACATTTTACTGAAGAAGGTATACAGCTGGCAAATAAACAATTGAAAAGATGTGCTTATTAAAAGAAACAACCCTATGCTCTCTCATACCAGACACACACACACACACACACACACACACACACACACACACACATACACAGTTAGAGACCTAAAATATTTATATCCTCTCCTCTTTAACCCCCTCTACATTGCCTCTACATTGTCTAAGTTGTGGTGAAGAAAAGGTATCCAGTATGTCCCTTAGTTATTTCTCTATTTCATGCTAATGGAAAAAAATAGTATCTTATGTAGAAAGAAACACAAACCAGCATCTCCTTCACCCTCCTTTTTCTTCACCCGCTTAATCTTCTTCTTTAACACCTTCATCAAGAAGTTCGCAAATTTATTGTTTTCTCCAAGGGCTGCTTGGAAACCAGCATAAAGGGCCTTTTCTTGGTCCTGGAGCCTAGCAATTTCATTCTTTTTCTCTTCCATATCTTTAAGAGCTTCATTTATTTTCCACTAAATGAACAATAACAAGAACAAATGATAAAATATTTCTGATAAACCAGGTTGAGGGAACAACGTACATCACGATGTAGGGTTATAATCTACACACATTTTTTAAAGCTCCTTAATAGAAGGTTACATTTCTGATGTTTGCAGAGCCTCCATTTACTTGGTTAAAATTTTATAATTATTTTGCAAAAAAAACCCAAAAAAACAGTGAAGTTCAGAATTAAATAAGATCAGTTTTTAAATGTTTAGCTTCCTTAAAAAATCTAAATAAATTAAAATTTTTACTGATATGTGGATGTTAACTCATATTTTTGCATTGTGGTCTCAAAAACAAAAGTTTATTTATATCCATATATGATAACTAAAACAAAAAGATACATATTATCTTAGTGAAGTTGATATACATAAAAACCGATGTCTCTATTCAGTATGTAAAGAATCTTTCTAAATCTATTCAGTATTTAAAAGAAACTTTCTCCCTTTAAGACAAAGAGGGATGGTATAATTTATCTCTTGAAATGTAACATATATAACAAAGTAACTTAATTTCCTGTAATATTTAATTATGTATTACTCTGAAACTAGCTGTCATATTTAAGAAGCTTACCAACTTCTTTTCCAGTTTGTTCATAACGACAGCATATAATCAAAACTCAACTGCATATGGTAACTAGTGACAACAAAAATATATACTTTTCAAATCCACAGGTAAGCTAAATATAAGGCTCACTTTTGAAAATTTTATTCTACCTTATAAAATATCAGGTCAACTTCACTAAAAAAATCTGACTCACTCCTCTCTAACCAAGAATACCAAAAATGTAGAGCAAGCAGGAATAATGAGGAAAAGGAGAAGGGAAAGAAGACGAAAAAGAGAGATGAAGACTAGAGCAAGGAGGGAAATTAAGTTTAGAAGAAGAAGGAAAAGAAGAATCCAGTTCCTTCCATAACTAAGGGCGCTGCCCATTAGCATCCTCCTGCCCGTTCATACTTGCATGTCCTGCTCCTCTTTGTCTAATGAATTAACACGCTCTTGAAGTATGTTCTCCTGTTTCTCAAAATTCTTGAGGAGAAGCATTTCTTGAAATAATGTGAGATGGTGCAGGTCAGATAATTTCATCTGAGTATCTAGTTTCAGTTTCTGATGTCTCAGGAGATGGAGCTCAGCATCAAAAGTGACAATCAGTTCTTTGATCTGAGGTGGGAAACGATTTGAAGATATGTTAGAGGTTAAGAACAGGTAAGTGTATTTTTAAAACTATCTCACAATATAATTTGTTTGGGTAAAAGCATTTTCTCATTATGCCTTTATTGTAGATGGAGAATTATATGGGTGTATATTGTGTGTCTAGTCATATAAATCAATTCATCAGTAGTCTTAAATTCACATAAATTATTTATTAAGTGGTAGGAATTCTGTAACTATAGTCCTTCCAACTGTTTTCTTCATCATCGATAGCCATTGATTAAGAATACCCTTCTTGGGCCAGCTGAGTGGCGCGATGGTTAAGAACTCGCTTGGGACACCAGAGGGCCCCAGTTCGGATCCCACATATGAGGGCCAGTGACACTGCCTTCTACAGCTAAGATGCTGAACAACAGCTCAACCTGGAACTGGGCTGCCATGAGTTGCCGGCAACGGCGTAGGCTGCAGCCCCTGCTGCAGTGGGTTGCCATGGGCTACCGTGTGTGGCCAGCAGCCAGCGTGAGCGGCTGACAGCTGGAGCTGCCA